GCATCTGTTATGCAAAACTCCTGTTGTCCCACAGATGTAGTTTTGATCGCTTCTATATGGCTAAGGGAGCAATTCTAATTATGGGAAGCCAACGTAATTCACACAGCCTTAAATTAAGCCAGTGTAAAGTACACCAGATCCATACATGGTTGAGGAGCATGGCTTACTGCCGGCAGAGCCAATCTAGTCCTGATAGAGGAGAAACAAGCCTTTAAAATACAGTTTGACCTATACCACACTTTTTGCCAGTGCAAGTTCCACTGGGCCGGTAGGTCACATGACTGAGATGAACCAAGTCAGGAACCAGAACAAGTTCCCTCAGCCCAGTCTCCCACACAACACCCATTTTGCAAAGTTTACGCCAGTGTAAATTCTGTCAGTCTCAGCTCAGCCAACTTAGCCAGAGCTGGGGACTTATACCAGCTGAACTAGGTATCTGCTTGCTAAACTGGAGATTTGACACATCCTAACTCACTCAACCCAGCGGATCTAGGGTGGCACCCTAAAGCAGTAGAAATAGGGGTGCATAATAGCCATTAACACAATCTATGGAGTCCATTCCCTTTACTGCATAACTACAAAGATTATCACTGCTTGTGTTCATACTTTGTAACAGAGGTGGTCCATATAGTTCCAGTAAAGGTAAAGGACCCCTGACAATTAAGTCCAGTTGCGAATGACTCTGGGGTTGCGGCGCTCATCTCGCTTTACTGGCTGAGGGAGCCGATGTTTGTCCACAGACAATTTTTCCGGGTCATGTGGCCAGCATGACTAAGCCGCTTCTGGCAAAACCAGAGCAACACATGGAAACGCTGTTTACCTTCCCGCTAGAGCGGTACCTATTTATCTACTTGCACTTTGACGTGCTTTCGAACTGCTAGGTTGACAGGAGCTGGGGAGCTCACCCGTCGTGGGGATTCGTTCCAGTAAGAGGTGTTAAATATTCACCCCACTGGATTTTAGTAGGGTCAACAAATCACAGCAGTTGGTTTTTCTCCCACTTCTAAATTCCAGGATAGATTATCCCATTTGTAGGACCCACCATAAAACCCTTCCTTTACATACTCTTTTCTCCATTTAGGAAGATGAGCATCTATTTAGGAAGATGAGTATCTTCCAAGACAAGGAGCGTGTGATATATTAGGGTTTTTACTTTCATGCCACATGAAAGCAGCCTCCTGTCTTATCTAAAATGCGGGTCTCTTCTTCATATCTTCAGGGAACAGAAGATCCAGATAATAAAGTTAAAGTCTAATCTCTAAAGTAAGGACGAAGCAATTGTTCTATACTTTAAGATGGAACAAAACCAATCTGAAATATCAAGCGCATTCAGGATAATAGCCCTCTCTTTGATTTTCACCACGTTACCTATCCCTAAACTGGTGACTTCAAAACCAAGTCCTCACCATTTGATATTTTCAAATCTTCACATTTTCAAATATTTAGATACAATTCAGATTGGAGGTGAAGCAGGAGGCATAATTTTCCTATTTCACCATCTCTACAAGAAGTAAACATATCCTTCGCTGCCAATGGGTGTGTACTGATTTAAAATCCTCAATTATGCCAGAGATATAGATGGCAACTACATTCACATGTTCCAAATAGTCTCACAAACTGCAGCAGGAATGGTCAGCTATGCAATAAAGAACAAGATACAGTATCCAAATAGGAGGTCATCTCTGCTCCTATGCAAGATAGTCTCACTAGAGCCAGAGGCAGTCTCCAAGTTAGAAGGGACAAGGGACTTGCCACACCCCAAGGTACAAGGAAGTTAATTATCTTAGTGTATCTCCAGTCTAAAGTGAATTAGTCGAATGACGAGAACCTGCTCATTTTCCCACAGTCGAAGGGACAGGGCAGCAGATGTTATAAACAAATCTTGTTGCTAAGTCGTTTAGTCATGTCCGACTCTTCGTGACCCCATGGACCAGAGCACGCCAGGCACTTCTGTCCTCCACTGCCTCCCGCAGTTTGATCAAACTCATGCTGGTAGCTTCAAGAACACCATCCAACCATCTCATCCTCTGTTGTCCCCTTCTCCTTGTGCCCTCCATCTTTCCCAACATCAGGGTCTTTTCCAGGGAGTCTTCTCTTCTCATGAGGTGGCCAAAGTATTTGAGCCTCAGCTTCACGATCTGTCCTTCCAGTGAGCACTCAGGGCTGATTTCTTTCAGAATGGATAGGTTTGATCTTCTTGCAGTCCATGGGACTCTCAAGAGTCTCCTCCAGCACCATAATTCAAAAGCATTAATTCTTCGGCGATCAGCCTTCTTTATGGTCCAGCTCTCACTTCCATACATCACTACCGGGAAAACCATAGCTTTTACTATACGGACCTTTGTTGGCAAGGTGATGTCTCTGCTTTTTAAGATGTTGTCTAGGTTTGCCATTGCCTTTCTCCCAAGGAGCAGGCGTCCTTTAATTTCGTGATTGCTGTCACCATCTGCAGTGATCATGGAGCCCAAGAAAGTAAAATCTCTCACTGCCTCCATTTCTTCCCCTTCTATTTGCCAGGAGGTGATGGGCCCAGTGGCCATGATCTTCGTTTTTTTGATGCTGAGCTTCAGACCATATTTTGCGCTCTCCTTTCACCCTCATTAAAAGGTTCTAAACAAATCTAGAGGTCTATTATCCTCTACAGTGCTATAGGCTATTCCCCAGGCAAAAGTCTCTCCACCCAGTTCTCTTCAGAGGAAGGAAATGGTTTCTGTTGTCACTAATACATCAAGTTACACCCTGGAGTAAGCCGAGGCAAGTTGTCAGCAACAAACAGAAGGGCAACAAACCTAACCCTAGGAATGACTCCTGCCTCCAGGCAAGACTGTCTGACTATTAAACCCTTAATGATTTGGGGCCAGGGTTGTTTTTTTAAAGTAGTCTTCACTCATTCAAACCTACTCACCAATAAAATCAGTTTGGTTGATGGGTGCAAAAGATAGGGCTTTCTTGGGGGTGGCCTGGCAATTGTGGAACTCACTTCCTATTGCACTACTACACATTTAGTGCAAACCTTAAAGCATGCCCAGAAAACTCGTATTCCAGACTGCCTTTAACAGTGTTTATGCTATTGATTCTTGATGCTCCATGCTTCTTCACAATTTTGCCTTCTTATGCTTTTGATACGTTAAATGTATCCTAATATATCTCATATCATTGTTGTACGCCACATTGTGAGGGTTGTGCACTAAAAGGCAGCCCATAAATACTTCCAATAAATGAATGTTGATGTCTATCCCCACAGCACTAGTAGCAAATTAGGTCCCACACTTACAGACAGGGATGTTCCCTCCTTGACCTGTAATGAACTACACACTTTTGGTTTAGTGCCAAAAGATGTGAAATATTTGCTATTCTCCTTTCTCTGCTTTCTTCCTTGCATTGGGAAAGGTGCAATTCTTCCTCTAAGAAAAAATGTCACATCTTAAATGCCCAAGTTCCAGAGATGAAATTTCAGTTTTGATGACAATTAGAATCTGTTGACCACCTCAATCTAGTGAGTATAAAACCATCAGAGAAATATAGCCACAGGTGCATGAAGGGGTTCCTCTATCCCCAAAAGGAGGAATGAATAGCAGGGTGCATTCAGGCTTATGATGAGATACCACATCCAAAAACTTCAAAGATCACATTCCCTTTGCCTAAGGCAGTGTTCTCAAACTTGAAACCGCAGCTGTTGTTGGACTACAATTCCCATTATCCCTAGCAAACCAGTGGTCAGAGATGGTGGGAGTTGTAGTCCAACAACAGCTGGAGATCCAGGTCTGAGAAACACTGTCCTAAGGTAAATGGAGCAATGCAAACCAAGAACATTGAGGAGGTTTTAAGTCACAGTTGGGGAACATGAGGCCCAGAGGCTGATTGTTATCATGTAGGCCTCTCTATCCAGTTGTCAAAACTCTAACAGACCACACCACTCCACCAGTCCTACTTCATAACTCCTTCATTGTTTTTGTCTGATTAGAATCTGTCCTAGAACTCTTTATCATGTTTCTTGATTGCCTGGATAGTGGACAGAGGGGCGTGTGTGCGTGTGTAGAAACTGACTGTAGAAAGGTAAAATGTAAAATCATCGCTTCACCAACTTTTCCCTCTGGCACTGAAAGAGCATATGTGCACCCCCCACCCCAGACTGTCCCAGATCAGAATGCAGCCCTCCATCTAAAAAAGGTTCCTTACCACTGCCACAAGGCCAAATCATGCACTCAGCACCAGGATTATCAGCTGAGCTGAAAAATAATTCAAAAACACAACCAGCCTCTCATGATGGCCCCCGGGAGTTGGCACCTATGGCCCATAGCAGTCTTGCGAACAGAACTACTTTATCTGCAAAATCAGCAGGTGAAATTTTTCAATATGCAGTGATCAGCATCTACGGAGGTACTAATCAACGTCTGCAGATCAAGATGCTGTTCCGAGCACAGGAGCAGGAACACAAGCAACGCACACACAAATAAGGAAGTTGGCAACCCAACTCAAAAGCAGAGAAGTGGAAATCAGATGTAGAAATGCTTGCTTGGACTTGCGGGAATGTGGGGGGGGGGGGCAGGGCTGAAATGTCAATGGATATGTGTGTCTGTAAAGGGCGAGTTTGAACCCCTCAACAACACAGGGGCCTTATGAGGGGGCAAAAAAAACCCCTTCTCCCTCCAAATCACATCTCTACCTAGGAGTGAGTAGGAGAGGCAAACAGGAGCATAAGAAACTGCTTTACAGACCACTGGCCCATCTCAGCCCAGCCCAGGAAAGCCAACTAGGCCCCACGACCATGGGTGCCCAGGGTCGTGGGTGCCATGCCAGGATTTTTGTTAGGGTGGGCAGGCAGGCTTTTACCGGGGTGGGTGGGCATAACCTCAGTTCTTAAAGTATTTTTATTGATTCTTGCTGACATTTGGGGGGGGTGGCCCCTACATGGGGAATTTTGCGTGTGCTCGGGCACCCAGGAAACTGGCACCTATATCCCATCTCACACGGACTGGCAGCAGCAGCAGCCACCTTACCCGCAGGCGCTGGGCCCCGAACCTGGGTCCTCCTGCATGCAAAGCAGATGCTCTGCCGCTGAGCTGCGGCCCGACAGGGAAGCTGCCTTGCAGCAAGTCAGGCTAGCGCTGGCCCTCGGTACAGTCACGAAGAGGCCGGATCTCGTCCCCCACCCCCACCCCAAGCCCTACCGGGGACTGAGGCGCTAGGGACCGAGCCCGGGGCACCCCACTGGGTGCGAGGCACCTGCCCGGCCACGGAGCCACGGCCCTCCCTCGGGGAGGGAATGCGCGGGTCTGGCCCCTCACCGCCCCTCTCCGAAACGAGCCTGACGGGTCCGAAAAGGAAAGGGCCTCTTCTTCCCTCAGAGTGGCCCTGTGACGGAGGGGGGGCAAAGCCTCGACGCTCTCCTCCTCCTCACAAGTAGCTCCTCTGGCTCCCTCTCCTCAGGCGGGCCGGGAGAAGGTTGTTTTTTTGGGCCCACCCGCCCCCCGCCCGCTGTGGGGCTCCAGCTGTTTCCCTCAGTGCCAGGCGCCCAACCGGGTCAGGGAGCTGAGGGACCAGAAGGACGGGCGGCGGCGACGGTTAAGCGCCCTCGGCGGTTGGTTACCTGGCACCGGCCTCTCGCGGCGCGCGCGCTCGCTCGCTTCCTCACGAGACCCGGTTGACACCAAGGCGGAAGTGGGACCCTCTTTTTCTTCGTCGTCGTCGTCGTTTTCACCCCCTTCTCTCTCTCTCCCTCGCTATCTCCCTCGCCCTCAACCCCGCCCTCAACCCTCTTTGACAGGCAACCGGGGAGCTTCCAATCGAGCCCCGCCAAAGGGCCGTGACGACGTTAAGCCCGCCCCGCGTCCCTCTCCTCCCGAAAGCCCACCAATAGGGCGCGGCCTATGCTAATGAGAGAGGGAGAGAGCGACGCCGCAGACACACAGGCATCGTCTCTCCCACACGCGCGCGCGCACACACACACACCCGCCTCAACGGCGCGCGCGCGCATGCCGCACGCTCGCTGGGGCGAAGGGGGCTTCGGCCAATGGCGTGCTCAGTACGGGGCGTGGCCATGCAATTTTTTTTAAAAAGGCGAGAGAGGGATGCTTTGCGAAGCATCCTGAGCGCTGCGGAGGGGCTGGCCAGGCATGCGGCGTTGCGCATCCCTAGTGTGTTGCACGGGGGTCTTTGCACGGCGTGGGGTGGGGTGCTTGGCTTGCACAGCCAGGGAAGGTTCAGAGAAGTCCGTCGAAAGGGTCAAGGGGATGGAGCGACTCGCCTACGAAGGAAATCGGCGTGATGCAACGTTTGCGGGGCGGGGGGGAGGCGGCGCAGCATGGTAGAAGTTTTCGAAATCATGCATAGAGAAAGTGGAGTGGGGAAAGTTCCTCTCCACCCTCCTCTTTCTCATTTTGTTATTTATTATTTATTTCGACCACTTATATACCGCTCGTAGTTAAGCAAAACTCTTAAGCGGCTTACAACACATCTTAAATAAACAGTAAATACCAAAACAAAAAGGAGATAATTTCTACGTTCTGTAAAGCTTAACAAAGCAGAACACCCTCGTCAGTATCAAAATAAACATTGCCACATAAAAACATAGCTGTCAACGTTTCCCTTATTCCGAATAGGATTCCTCGCAAGAAAAGGGAAAAGTTGACAGCTATGACATAAAACTCAGCTGCTAAAATAAAATAAAATAAATGCAAGAGCTCATATAACAGAAGATTTCCAAGTAAGCTGAATGTTGTAAGATTCAGGACATGGGAAAGAAGTGCAGAGTTAAACTGTGGAACTCCTTCCCCCAGGAGGCAATGATAGCCACTGACTTGGATGGCTTTAAAAGGGGATGACACCTGTGGCGTAGCGTGGGTTGTCAGCACCCGGGGCAAGGCAAGTAATTTGCGCCCCCTAACCCGTGGATTTGCGCCCCCTAACCCGTGGATTTGCGCCCCCTAACCCGTGGATTTGCCTAACCCCCAGATGTTGCGCCCGATGCGGCCGGCCCCCCCTGCACCCCCCACGCTACGCCACTGGATGACACAAATCCACAGAGCAGAGGGCTGTCAATGGCTAGTAGCCATGCATAGCTATGCTCTGCCTCCAGCAATATTTCTGAATGCCAGTTGCTGGAAACCCCTGGAAGGGTAGGGGTCTTGCCCTCATGTTCTGCTCACTGGTTTCCCACTGGCCCCTGTGAGAACAGGATACTGGACGAGATCAGCCACTGGCCTGATCCATCAGCCTATTCTTACGTTCTTAGGTTATGTTCGCTCCTTTTCCTCCTTCTTTTTTGCATTGCATTAAAGCCTATTCATCTCTTCCGTTTTAAGGTGGTGCAGCAGCTGTGCATGTGTGCTTGGAAGCAAAGCCCTCTCTTTTTTTATTCTGATTAACTCCCCCAAGTTTGCAAAGGGCTGCAGCCCTAACAGTGCACACCTGTAATCCTAACTCTGGCTACGCAGCAGTAAGCCCTGTTGATTTCAATGGAACTTACACCCAGGTAAGTTAATCTAGGAAACTCAAAATGAGCTGGACCATCGGTCCATGTAGCTCAGTATTGTATGCACTGACTGGCAGAGTCTTTCCCAGCCTTACCTGGAGATGCCAGGGATGGGACCTTTTCCTTGGGCATGCAAATCAGATTCTATTACCCTTCCCCAAGCAGAGTTAGGGTCACAATCTAAGCCTGTGTATGGATGTTCGAAAGTAAACACCATTGAAGAAGGCTCACTCCCAGACAAGACTCTAGTGCTAACCCTACTTACTTGGGAGTATGCTCCAGTGAATTCAATAGGCTTACTTTTGAGGAGACACAATTTGGAATTGCACTGTGCATGCATGCAATTGCAGTCTTAACAGCCCAATTGTGTGCATGTCTACTCAGAAGTAGTTCCTTACTCTCAGGTTAAGTGTGCATAGGATTGCAGCCAAACCTTTATCGTATCTTAGAAGTCTAATATTGCAACCCTGAAAACAAAACCAGCAGCAGTAGGGCTTATTTCTGAGTACACATAATCAGGAGGGTGGGTCTCTCTGTAAATGCAGAAAGTACCTCTTCATACAACAGGTAGACTTGCATTGTTTGTGTTCATTACTTGCAGAGCTCACAATACGAGTTTGGCCTAGCTGGATGAACAGATATACCTAATCGTAGCCTAGCCTTATGCATGTATGCTCAGAGGTGAGCCATACCATTTTCAAAGGCTCTTCCTTGCTATTACTTGCTGGTAGGTAGGTATGCATAGGTTAGCAGTCCCAGGCAACAAGTAACCCCACCCCATTGAACACTGTAGAACTTCCTTCTGAGTAAATATTTATAGTGTTGGGCTGCAAACGGTTCTAGATACACGCAGATGTCTAATCTATTACTATATATTTAAGTTTCACATTCTACCAAAGTTCTTGATGATAGTTATCAAAGCAAATACTAAACAATTCACTCTTTTTAAAAAATAAAAATAAATAAATCCAAAACTACGGTATACAGATCCTGTGTACAGTCAAGGAATGCTGACTCACAGCCTGTAGCTGCCATGTGATCATTATTATTATTATTTATTGAATTTACCATATATACTGCCCTATACCCAGAGGTCTCAGGGCGGTTCGCAGAACAAAATCAAAATATAAAACCACAAAATATATAATCAAAATAAAAACAACAACCCAATAACCCCCCCCAAAAAAACCACATTTTAAAAGGGCATGTGATTAACTTATGAAGAGGTGTGTGTGTATATATATATATATAACACAACAGCACTTTGCCATAGTCATTGTATGACTCACACTCTCTGCTGGCATAGCTCTTTACATCTCGAGGATTCTGTTGATTCATTACAAGACACCTCACGCCTTCATTATGCAATGTTAAATCCACAAGCATGTGCTGACAGCACTTGGCTGTCCATTTTATGCCAGGCAATTAACTGTAATGAGATGCACGAGCTTTTGCAACTTCAGAGGAAGATGAATAGACACAAATCTTTAAATCAGAGGTGGGGGACCTTTGTCAGCCTGAGGGCTGCGTTCCCTTCTAGGGAAGCTTCCGAGAGCCACATGCCAGCGGTGGGCGGGGCCAGAGGAAAAGTGGGTGGAGCCAGTGCCAGTGTGGTGTAGTGGTTAAGAGAAGTGGACTTGTAATCTGGTGAACTGGGTTCACTTCCCTGCTCCTCCACATGCAGCTGCTGGATGACCTTGGGCTAGTCACACTTCTCTGAAGTCTCTCAGCCTCACTCACCTCACAGAGTGTTTGCTGTGGGAGAGGAAGGGAAAGGAGATTGTTAGCCGCATTGAGACTCTTGAGGGTAGTGATAAAGTGGGATATCAAATCCAAACGCTTCTTCTTCTTCTTTGTTCAGTAGGCAAATTTCTGCATGTACCCTTCTCTAACCTGCATCCAGGCAGCTGAGGGTCATCATCACAATTTTAGGATGCATTCCAGCCGGGCAAAAACATTCCGGGTGCAAAGCAAACGCAATGAGGGGTGCAGCTCGGGAAGAGTTTTGAGGGCAAGATTATGAGGGCTGCATTTGGCCCACCCAAATGCTCTAAATTGAAAAATAAATCCTCTAGAACAGCCGTTTGGATTCCTAGATGTTGGACTACAACTCCCATCACCCTGACCAGTGGCCAGGGATGATGGGAGTTGTAGTCCAAAAACATATGGAGACCCAAGGTTGAGAGAGGCTGCTCTAGAATAAGTAGTGGGGGGGTTAAGACTGAAAGGATGACTGCACAGACGTGGTGGTTCCCTCTTTTCTGCAGCAAATGTGATCAAACATAGATGTAAAAGCCACCTTTCTCCACAGAGCCTATGTAGCAAATAAGTTGCATTGCAGGCTGAAACTATTACAGCTATCCATTCTAGCAAGAAAAATCCCATGCAATGGAAGGTGAAATCCACTGAAAGCATGCTCATGACAGACATGCCAATACATATTTTTAAAAGGTGGGGGGAAATGGAAGTTCCAAATTTCTGATGAGGTTTCAGCTTAATTCAGTTTTGAAACTATTTTGTGCCTTTGGTATTTCTAAAGTAGAGAATATCCTATATTCCATGCGCTCAAATCAATTAAAAAAGAAAACAGTTAATTGTCAGGAGGAAAGGTTTGCTTTTCCATACTGCTTCACACAGGTTCTTATATCCTAACTGCAACAGTTTTGCCTTGTTTCTCACAAGACAGGAATGTGCGCTTTCCTCTATGGTGCTAATTTGCAAGGTATTTGCCATGTGCAATCTCTTCCTCTA